GGAAGGCAGCTTTGCCTGAATGTGCATTTATGTATTTTGTAAGACAAGACAAGGGACCATCCTCGTGACTCATTGCAAAAGATACTTGTTTTAAAGGCTGACACTCACCACTGCAAATCTAAAAGCCATTGCAGTTTATACAGTGCTCAAGTGCTTTCTCGTCTGCCTTTATAACATAGTGATTATTCTCATAGTATTTATATTCCATATACAAATCAATCTCAAAGGACACTGTACCAACATAATTATTTAGATCAGACTGCTTAAAGACTTCTTTATGGCTCTGTATAAAGTAATTGTAACTAGAGCTTTAATTTTCTGCCATTAAAGTATCCACTGTAGTACATTCAGCTGTCTGAATTCATTCTATAGGAAACAGTATATTAAAACAAGCAGTAAAATCAGTGAAAGAAGAACCTTGAAAGACCTGCTTTTGTAAGGAACAAAATCCCATTAATCTTTGTCTTTGAAAAAAGTTAATTGCAGCACATTCACTGCTGATTTTTGTTTCACAGTGTTAGCAGATACCAGTTATTTCAGTAAGTTGTTTTGAGCCAGCTGAATGTAGCTATTTTACATATGACTGTCTCTTAGTGCAAGTTTCAAGTTAATTAAATTACTATTGTTGTCATCTGTCCCATGTTGTTCCTTCAGTTGAAGCTGTGAGTTTTCTTAGATTTGGCAGCACTTATGGAGAAATCAGAGTGATGGAGCAAGAGGAAGCTGATAGAGGAAATGGTCATGGATGTTTCTATGCTTAGTATATGAAAATAGTTTGTTGACTTTTGAGCTTCACAGCATCCTTCTGTTGCTTTAAATGATAGACCAGCCTCTCAAAATGTTCATGAGGCATCTTCCACCTTCTTGCTACAAAGAGGTTTACTAAGAAGTCTGTTCTTGTTTCATTGACAGTGACTCCTTTGCCTGTTTTCATGAACAACATGTATAACAAACTTTGTACTTTGCAGCTGATGCGTCTGATTTTGAGACAATCCTTTGAAGTGCTGAAAAGAAATGAATGGGATGAAAGGTAAGGAGATTCCTGAATGGAGTTGCATCATAAAGAAGTCACCTAATTTACCTTTTATCCAATATATTTTCATTTAATAGATCCTTTGTTTCCATAGGTGGCTCTGTTACAGAGTCTTAACATTAAGGTTTATTTGTTCTTCAGATCACTTACGTAGTTTAGAAACAGTCAGGTGTTACACTTCTTCAAGTTAGATACAGTATTTAGTGTATTTAATTTTCCGACTTAACCAGAAGAACTGTCAATACAATATCATCTGCAGAGAGATTAGACAGGGAACCTTCATCCCAGAAAATATGGAAAAGGAATTTGTTCATTTGTTTGTTTATGTTGTTTTTTCTGATTGGTTGTGACTTTTTTTTTTATTTTTATTTTACTGTGTTTAATCATGGTGACTTCTCTTTTGATAAGGCAGAACTCCTTAACTGTAAACTATCTTCCTGTTTATTCTGTACATCAGTGATTTGGATTGTATTATACTCTATCAAAAGGCAAATAATTGCAGTCACTTGCCCTATCTAGAGCTCTTGTGCCACTTCTAAGCCTTCTGTCTTTAAACTGATGGAGAGATTTAAGCCTTTTAATTGAAAGTGCTTGATAATCACTTGTTAAGGTTATCCTTTCTCTCTCTTGCCTTCTGAAATGTGGAATGCATCCAGGCATGTTTTTGTGGAAGAACAAAGGAATGCAAAGCTAAAGTGCCCCACATTCCTCCTGTTCCACCTTAATTTTGCATTGAGGAAATGCAGAAGGTTGAAGAGATGAAAATGTTCCTTGACAAGAGCAGAAGGTGTGGGAGGGAGTTTGATACAGCCAAAGCCTTTTTTCCCCACACAGAGACATGATCACCCAAACTGATCTCTGACAAGGTTTCTTATGGCTTTGGCTTCCATTTTTCCAGTACCACTGGAAGGATGGCCTGAAGGCTGTTCACCACCAGTGGAGGCAGTGTGGGAAGAGAATCTCGTGATTCCTTTCTTTGCAGAGTGAGGGAGCTCAAGAACTGCCTTTCCCTCCTAAATGGAGCCTAGAAGCTGCCTGGCATGTCTTTCATTTCTCTTTTCTTTTAAAATGCTTTTGAAAGAAGGTGTATTAAACTGAAATAATCTTTGTGGATTTGGATGCATTGAATTCTCTTTGGGACTGGAAACATTTGTTCTGGGCAAAATTGTAGGAAGTGCCAAAGAACGCCACGGGAGAAATCTTGGAATATAAATAGCTTCGCTTTCCTGAAAGATAGCAATGATAGGCCTTGGGAAAAAGAAAAGAAAAGAAAAAAACAAAAGAAATGGGAAAAAGTCACAATTGCTGCTCAGCTGCAGCAATGAGAGCATGTCTCTGAGCAATGTCACTCCAGCAGTATTTGTTGGTACCCCAGAAGTGAATAACTGAGCCACAGAGCTACTCGTACACATCTCAGTCAGTTCTGGCTTGAACTATTGGAATGGTGACTTTTTTTATGCCTAGTTTGGCTCTCAATCTGTTCTTCAGTGTAAATGTTTTGCTCTAAGGGACAGTGAATAACATGATTTAACAAAAGCAAAGTCTGCACAGTTTAAATGAGTTTGAGAAGGTTCAGTATTAAATTTAGTCCTTGGGTGTTGACCAAAATGGAGATTGTCTCATGGACTTCTCTTCCTTTCCTATCATCATGTCTAACTGTAAAGGAAAATTACTGGCATCTCTGGCTATGTAGAAGACCTGTATCTAGAAACTGGGTCTCATTTGTGCCTCTATAGGTAGATTCTAGAAAAAAGGAAAGTGGAGGCATGTTACTTTGAATTTTACTGCACTGACTGTAGCATCCTTCCCCTCACAGACCCAAGTGAATGAATTCTCTTTATTGTTATTTCCTTCTTTCTTTTATTCACTTCCCTCTATTTACCACCATTGGCAACTTCTATCTGAACAAGTTATGTTCTTTCACATTCTCTTCCCTTTCTTTCCTGATACCCTTTCTCTTCCCTTATCTATGTTCACCTCAACTTCCCACCTACAGCTTTCTCTTATTCATCATTAACAAGGGCAATTTTAATTATTCACAATAATGCCAGACCCAGCTTTAGCAGTGGCACAGTTCCATCTTCAAATGGAAGGGTACAAGGTGCTGCCCATCAAGGATGGATGCATGTGACAGCTGCTCAAATGGCAGAATTCCTCCTCCTATCCATCAATAACATGGCATAATAACCTTCAGCCAAAATTAAGGTGTGAATTCTAAAACAGTGATTTTCATTGTAGCAAACTGAGTTGAGTGGATTGTCTGATGCTGCAAAATCATCTCAATCATAAGGAGTTCTGATCTTTTTCAAAGTTTGCTTTAAGATGTGAAAATTGACCTCTGGATTTATTTCTCATGAATGTTGGATATCTGTCCAGAACTGTAAAGAGCTGGTAAAGCTGTGAATGACTAGAGTTTGTTTTCAAGGCAAAAAAAGCATGAGCAATTGAATAGGAATATCTTCTTTTTTTTTCTCTTTTCATTTTTCTTTTTTTTTTTTTTAGTCTAGTTGAACCATTGCTGCAGCTACTAATGAAAGAAGTTATGGACCCAGACAGCAGTGCTCCCACTGGGATAAAGTTACATTTCATTGATATCTATCTGGATGAATTGGCTAAAGTTGGTGCAAAGGAGGTTAGAAAATATGTTGTCATTTTCTTCCTGGTTAATGTTAACCATAGCATGCAACATTTTAGAAGAAACATCATTTTTGCATCATGTATTTTTTAACAGTTTTAATTGTAACCTAGACACATTGAGTAAGCATGAAGAAAGTGACTTACTACAAGTTATGCTTTTACTTTTATTCATGTCTTTGACAGCGAGGATATGGTAGTTTCTCTCAAGTTCCTGAGTACTGCAATGCTGCTCCAAATTGAGGTTGGAAATAGCAATAGAAAAGTTAGACCAGTTTCATTTGTTTGTTTCAACAGAAGGGACTTAGTGTCTTCTCCCTTGTGTGAACATGTTTTCCAGTCTTTGCTTTTGCAAAACCCGACATCAAGCCTGCTCTTGGCTCATTGTGTAACACCTAAATAGAGGAAGAAAGTGAGCTTTCAAAGCTGTCTGATATTTCCTTACTGTTGCCTGTGCGTTGTGCAGTTTACCCTCCACATCCAGTTGCTGGGTTTGCTGGTGACAGTCTGTCTTGTTCTGCTGTATGTTGCTGTTGCAGTTGCCCTTAATTTTGGCTGATGTTCCAGTTTTGCAGCAACTGGAAGCCTGTTACTGCAGCTGTTGCTGCTGAACGTCTTCCAAAGAGCATTTCTCCTGTCCCTGCACTCTGCCTGCAGCCCCACACTCATCCCAGACTCCTGCTCAGTTACCTTCCCTTGTCTCTGGCCTCTGATACTTCTCCTAGCAATGGGCAACGCTGTTAGCAATTTTCCATTTGTGTTCCTTGCAGTATTGCAAGCAATCCTGCCTGCAGCTTTTGTGCTTCTGGATTGTGGAGCGTGAGAGAAAAGATCTCTGCAACAGGGAAGTGCCTGTACTTGGAGCCCAAATCATTTCTGCAGCTCCACAGGCACAAAACTGTAGCTAAGCCTCAGGAGTTAGTCCCCTCGACTATTTGAAACCACCGATGATGCTCATAAATTGAATTCAGGGAAGGATATTTATCTTTAGCACTACTGTAGCTGACAGGGTTTTGGTCCAAGGAGTCCAGTTAAGAGACATCCAGATCTTATTCTTGTCTGCTACAGACCTTCTTTGTGAAAGTGCATGAAATTATTCAAGCTTTCTCTGCTTTATGTTTCCATAATTAAAATAAGAAGCTTTGTTATATTTTTGTACTCAGCAGAATAAAATCTGCAGGACAGTCACTGTTTTTATAATACTTCCAGGGAATATCTGGGAGTTAATTGTAGCAGTGGTAACAAAAAGTCCCTAAATACTCCTGTCAGTTGGACTTAGTATACTGAAAGACTTTGTTAAAGAAGATCCCCCAAACACCAAATATTCAGGGAATTTGGGTGTACACATACAACATTTATTGTACTCACTACTTTTTTCTTTCTCATCATGCAGCTCACAGCAGACCAGAATCTCAAGTTCATTGAACCTTTCTGCAGACTTGCTGCCAAATCAAAGGAGTAAGTTTAATGAAAAGACAAATATTTTTTAAGAATTTAGAAAATCTGAATTTACCACTCCACATGGTAATAAATGGATTGAAGAAGAGTCTTAACCTCAGAATGTAAAGAAAGAAGGTTATTTTAGCAGCCATGTGCACAGTCATTTGAAGATAACTTGTGTTTATCAAAGGTGTAGGTAATCATGGATTTATAACGACTATAACCAACCTCTGTTGGTTAATATATCTAGTTATTTTATTTTTTTTAACATGCATAGAGCAGCTGAGCTGGTTGTCTTCTTTGTTGTTGCAATGTATTATAGAGCACCATATAAGCAGTGAAAATTAAGAGAGGGACATTAGCATCCTGTTTGGACTGAAGGACCAGTTCAGTTCCCTCATCTGAAGAGCTAGATGTTCTTCCACTTCTTTCTCTGTGTCCCTCAAATTTCCACTCTTTTAATGTGAGAGGGGAGGGTGTTTACACTCCTGCCTTTCAGCTCTGTCCCTGCTCTCTCCTCACGCAGTCGGTGTTTGCTGCACGCTGTAGCCACCGGAATCTTTGAGCTGATTGTGGATCAGTCCCCCTTTGCCATCGAGGACCTGATGAAAGAACTGGGCAGCAACAGTGACGAGGAGGATGTTTCTGAAGAAGACAAACAGGAAAAGGAGGAGGTGCCTAAAACCAAAGGTGAGGAGGAGGTTCTAAGTTGCCCTGGTAAGACTTGATAGGATTGAAAAATCTGCTTCTGAAAAATACATTTCTGCTCTGTTCAGGGTGTTGTAAGGATAATTGTGTTTTCCTGTCTTCCCTCCAAATGCGCTTAACAAAGCTTGCACTTTTGGATTTACTATCTCAAACAAACTGAGCATTAATACTCAATCTTTTTTCTATAATTGCAGACAGATGTTTTTCAAGAAAATCAGTGCAGAGCTCTGAAAAAACAGAGCATATTGATAAAAAGGCTGATAACGGGATTGGGACCGTTCTTCAGGTTTGTGGCTTCTTTGCTCTGTTATTGATACTCCTCTCTCTTCTTTTTTCCCCATCCCTTTCAAAAGGTACAAAAATAAAGGGCATTAATGGATAAATATTACAAAATTTTAATTCCCTTCTGATTTAATGTAAGGTGATGTTAATGTAATGTGTACACTGTGAGTTGTAGTAAAATAAACCCAAGTCTAAATTCTTCTTTTCCTCTCTCCCATGCCTTCTGTTTTCTGCCTCTCCCTGTTTCAAGACTTAAATGCCAAGTCACTGTGGGTGGTGAAGCAATCAGCTCTAAGTTTCATTGACAATAAGGGCAAAAGTAATGGATGATGGGACACATAGGAGTGAGAGTAGCATGCTACAATTTGGGTTTTCTAGATCCAGTGCAGTGTAGTGTTTTTGACAGATCCACCCATCAAACACACATGCAGGTAGATACACTTTGTGCTTCTGTGGCTTTCGAGCAAGAATTAGGACATGACACACTTTAAATCTGACATTTAACTAAATATTTATGGGAGTTTTGAAGTAGGTTGAGCAAGAAATAAGGTTAAGAACATCTGAGACAGTGATACTGAGTTCAGCTGTTCTGTTAATGAAGCAACAATCTGGAAAAGTCAGTATACATGTTTGAAGGGGGCGTAAACTTCAACAGAGAAAAATATTTTGGGTTTAAAAGAAGTGGCTGAACTCAATACTTGAGGTGTTGGTAACATGAGTTGCATTGGGTTATCTTGCATGAATAAACTTGTTGTTGTACTTCCCTTCTGACAGTTTGATTACAAGGCTGTTGCTGACAAACTCTTTGAATTGGCGAGCAAGAAAAACACACCTTCCCGGAACAGAAAGCGTCTGTACAAGCTGGTCAAAAAGTGAGTTCTGTGGAAATACACCATGTGCCACCCTGTCCTAAACAACTGTCACTTTGCTTTCTGTCCACTCTCAGTTGTCCCAGTGACAATGTCACGAGAGCAGGTCACAGTCCTGGATGATGTGCTTGAGCTGCCTGAAGCCTGTGCTGCTGTTCCTCACTGGTGCAGCTGCAGCCAGCTGAGGTTTTGTCTGCACAGGGTGGGTTTGTGCTGCAGGATGTGACATCAGGTTGTGTGTGATGCAAGGCACAGATATAGAAGTGTTAAATTGCTGTTTTCTCAGTGCTTTCGGTGGTTTGGTTTGAGTTTGGGGATTTCTGAGGCAGGTCTCTTCTGAATGGGCTCTTCCTGTGCAGAATATGTTGTTCCTGTTTTGACAAAATCATAGTAAGTACAGTGATACTGTTCTGCTACTGTTATTATTAAACCAGTAATACTGATTTGTTTTTTCTTTTCTCCCTCCCTCCCCACCTTCAGGTTCCAGGACTTAGCAGAAGGTAAGGACAGAGACAGTAGTTTCTTTCCACTAAAGGATATATAATGTTCCCATACCATGTGTATTGGAAATATTTTTTCTTTTTTTTTAATATGTATTTTAGGAATATCATTTTAGGGGGTCGTGTGTTTTTTTAAATCTCTTTAAGATACATTACATGTTTTTGGTGAGATGGTCAAATCCCCCTCACAATTTGAGCAACCCCATACTTTGTCCTTAAATGAAAGATGATTATTTTTACTTAAACAAATAGGAATCCGTCGAGTGATTTTCCTTCAGGTTGAGTGGTGAAAAAGGAGTTGTTTTTTCTTTCTGTGGGAGTTCTGCTGTGTATGAACAGCATAACTGTTCATAGAAATAAAAGTATTAGTTTTCTGATACCTTATTCTTCCTCAACAGGAATCTTCCCCCAAGATATTCCTGAAGATGTTTCTACAGATGAAGACGATGATGATGAATTCAGCAGGCGAAGGCGAAAGAAAAAAGCTGTCAAGCCTTGGAAGAAAAGCGAGTTGGAAAAAGTAAAAGGTAAGGCAAGATCAACATTTGGAAGAGAGAGAATCTGCAGTGTCTTGAGCAGTTTGGCCAAGTGTCAGATACAAGCTGTTCTGAAGAAGGCAACACTTGTCCAGAATGTGCTGATTTGTATCCTGTTGCGATGAAGGTTAAATGTGAAATTAAGTTCTCTTTGAAAGTGGTGGGAATTCTCTGACCAATTTTGAGGCAAGCATTACCTCAGAAATTTCTATCAAAAGCAGAACTGGAAGGAGTTGTTTGCATTGCTCCTTTGAGCAGTTGCATTTAATGCAGGAAAACAGAAACATGTCAGTCTTAAAACAGGATGACTTAGAATATAAGAATTTGGGGGTGTTTCTTGAAAGGTGAAGAGGGTTAGTGAGAACAAGGTGCAAGTATCTGTATCATCATGGCTTGTACTGATATTACACATGCCCAGCCATGCCCAAAAATATCCAACCAAACTATTGAACCCCTGAGTTGCCCTTCTGATGGGCTGGACAGGTGGGTAATAACAACTCTTTCTAGAAATACTGCTATAAAAAATAGGGTTGCCACAGGGAATGATTGGCAGAATATTAATTAGGACAGATGTCAGTGGACTGCAGTGTCCTGACCAGGCGTAACAGTAAAACTGTTATGTGGATTGATAGCAGGAAAATGGTACACCTGTTTCAAAAGAAAAGAAAAAGAGCAAAAACAGGATAGAATTAACTTGTTGTAAGTATCTTTGTGTTTCAGATCTGTGTTATATGGTATTCTTTTTGTGATGGATTTAGAGGATAAAGAAGAGCTGTCAAGTGTGAAGATGCCATCAGTTCCCCAGAAGAAGAGGAAAAAAAGGAAGAAGAGGGACAGCCCAAATGCTGATCCTGGAACAGCTGATGGAAATTGTGAGAAGGGAATAGCTGAAACATCTGGATCTAATGTTTCTAGCCAGGAAAAGGTGCCAGAAAATATCAAGGAGAGGAAGAAAAAGAAATTGCTACTAAATGAGGCCAATGAGACCACAAATGTAGCAACTGACACCAGAGAAAATCACAGTATCTCTGCACAGAACAGTCCGACCGATGGAGAACAGAGTAAAAAGAGTCAGCTGAAGAAAATGAATCCAAAAGTACAGAACGTTCCTGCGAAACCAGTGTGTCAGAATGGACCAGCTAATGCCAGTGCAGCAGAGGGTGTCAGCCCATCTGTCACACCCTTAACTCCTAAGGCTGTGAAGAAGAAACAGAAGGCAGGGGCTGTCCTGGTGAATGGGGATCCCCTCCTGCAGCAAAGTGACAGGAAACCCAACAAGGAGGGATTGCTGGGGACCCTGCCAAGAAATGCAGGGTCTGAATCTGTGCCCTCCGGGAAGGTCACATTGAAGACAAAGACAAAGCTCGTTGGCTTGGAAGGGATGAAAGTCTCCAGTCAGAATGCAGCAACCTTGAAAAAGAAGAGAAAAGTGAAAGAGGTGCTAAACTCTGTCGAAACCAACGGGATTCTGGAGACTGCGTGCAAGAAAAGCAGGAAGGGGGTACGTACATCTCATTCTTTTCTCTGCCTTCTTTGTGAGCTGCCAGGCTCAATTTCAAATTTGGCTTTAGCTTTCTGAGTGTGGGGCTCAATGGGCTGAATGCTGATGTCATCGTGCATTGTCACCAAAAAGAGCTCAATTCCCTAGAAATCCACAGCTGCTACAGTCTCATGCCCTCCTGTGCAATGACACTAAAACCTGTGCCAGATACTCAGCCTGAAGAACCCATCTAGCTGAAATTTGGGATGTTACAGGATGGAGTTGTTTTCTTTTTTTTTTTATCTTTTGTTTGTTTTTTTTTTGGTCCCTGGGTTAATTATTCTTTTGCATTGTGTCTCTAATTGGTCTCACAGCATGTTCACGAAGGGCATATTTTGGCAAAACAATGAGAAATCGGAAGATGGAGCATCCTTTTTGCAGCAGCAGCACACACTTAGATTAGTATAAACTCCTTGTGAAATTGCCCACAGTAATTCCAGGAGTGGCTTCTTTTGCTCACTCACTTCCCCATCTTAAACAAACTGATAGGGCTGTCTGGGGAAAGCATTTGGGGAAAGATGGAACAGAGGATGTGATCCTGTGACCTTTAATGTCATCACTGCCTGTATGATCATATTCATGAGCAGTCCAGTTTCTTATAAAGACAATGTTTTTTCATTAGGAAGGTCTGATTGTAGTCTGGTTCAAAAATGTATTCATTGCAGTTTGGAAACAACCTATTTTTCTCCCCCGCCTCTACCTCCCACCCCTGTTTTCTTCTTGGCGATAAGTAGAATAAGGTTGATTTTTCTCAGTGATTTGAGAGTCAAAAAGCACTTTTCACTGTATATTTTTGATAGTGTGGCTAAAAGAGAGAGTGCAGGGGTTGTCCCCTCCCCTGCCACTGAAGCTCTTTTTAACTGCTCACTTTCCATGTGCATATTCACCCCAACACTTTTAGGGGTTCAGTTACATTCCTGGAAGTCTTGCTGGCAGTCTCACTTTAGTGGAAAGAAGATTAATAAAACATAAATGAGATTCTGAATACAAAACAACTCCCTCTGACTTAAAAGTGCATGTTTCTAGCCCATCAGCTCACCTCTGACTTAAAACTGTAGGATTAGTTAAGTAATGCAGCTTGGTAAATGAAGTTGGTGTAACTCCTCAACCCTTCAAGGGAGAAAAAATGCATCTTGAAACATTGTTTAAATAGTAATAAAATAGCTTTGGCATTTTCTGGGTTTTGATAGTAAAGTACAGAGCAGGAAGAACCAAAAACATCCCCACTGTGCAAACTGCATTTCTTTCACTGCAGGGCTTCCAAAGCAGAAACCATTGGCTTTGTCTCCTGTAGTCTAAATATTCTATGTTGCATACCTTGTCTTTGTCTATAAAAATGTGATTTCTAAGAAAATATGATTATGCCACCCCCATCTATTTCTATAAAACTTAACTGCAGCTGACCAACAGGCTCCAAGACCTGAAATAGATTCAAGATAAAAAGTTCCTGGAAACTTCAAGGAAATGAGTTGTTGGCACAAATTAACGTTGGCATTGAGGGAAAAGCAGCAGCACAACCCCAGTCCAGGTGGTTGTGTGTGTTGAGTGGGAACGGGGGAGGTGGAGAGTAGGAGAGATGTTTGGGAGTCAGGAAGAGAGTGAGAGTATTGGGATAAGAAACAGGAGGGCAGGGTAAAGCTAAAATGCACAAATGTGGAGGAAATAAAGCTTTGCTAATTTTGCTTTCGTTGCTTGAGAAATAACATGTTGTTTTATTTCCTGGTTTTAGTTACGTAATCCTGGCCTTGTGCCCAGTAATGAGGGGCATGTTTTGATTCTCGATTTCAAGGGCAACACACACCTCCAAAGAATTAGCTTCAAATCCTGAGAGAGAGGAGGAGGAGGAGAAGGGGAAAAAACAGACAAGATCAGCATTATTTCACAGGTGTATCCAGACTTCAGGAAGCTAAAAGTCTTGTGATTTTTCACTTTATTGAAAGCACAAGTGATTTTCAAATCAAAAGAGGCCATATCCCCTGGACATTTTCCACAGCTTGTCAGTGAACTGCTTTTGGAATTTCACATCTGTTGGTTGATGTAAAGCATAACTGTGGACTGTAGTCCACAGGTATCTGACTGGTCCACAGTCTGTAGACAGCAGGTTAGAAAGCTCTGCCAGTACAGGCCCTAAGAATTGCCTTCTGCTGAAGGGAAGAATTACTTTAAATGCCACAAGAGTATGAATTTGAGGCAGCAAACTAGAAGCAATACACAATAGCTGGATTTCTGAGAGTGTAAAGACTTCATACTCCACTTTATTTTTTTCTCCAGAGTCTCCATCTTAGCCCAAAGCTGGGTTTGTTCATTGGTTGTGTATCTTATGCATCCAGAGGTACCACAGAATAGTTTTTGCTTCTGCTCAAGGGAAAAAAAATCACTTGTGTGCAGGAGAGCTGGATCAATCATAAGGCAGCCTCATCCACATGGAGAAAACCTTGTTTGTTTGCACTCTGATGGGCCTGGCAAATCTGTTACTAGTTCTTCCGTCTGTGCTTTGCACTGATAGTTTCCTATTTCTGTACAGAGCTTGCCTTAAATTTCTGCTTTCAGTCGTGCTAATTGCAAAATTTTGTCTTAAGAGTTGACCATGATGATGAGCCAATGTGCTAGGTGTAGTTTATTGCAGTACTGTTGTACTGAAGCATTTTTCCCTTTCCTTCACAGGAAAGCAGTGATGCTCTGTCACCATTAAAGAAAAAGAAAGCAAAACCAGGAAGTGATTTTGTAAAATTTGAGAAAACAACTTTAGCAAAGGGAGTGTTCTTCAGGAAGGCCAGAAGCGCCATCTCTTCCACCAGGACATCCTTGCAGGTGAGGTGATCTCACAGAGGGACAGGCACAAGTCTCTTCCCAAGAGACCTGCCCCACCAAAGGGTGTGACCTCACTTGTGCTGTCTTTTCCACTCTTACCATGAGCAGATAAAACTGGAAATGCTGTTGCATTTTCCTGTAGACAGAGTCACATATGGCTCCAGAGTTTCAGAAAATGAGTTGAAGGCACCTCTAAAACCTCTTCTTCCCTCCCCTCTGCTTTTAAAAGTACCTTCTTGTTGAACACCCACCATTCTGAGTCTGCTCATTTCACAAGAAAGCAAAAGCATAAACTGACTTTCAGTCTTGCAGAGTGACTTTGAGCCTCCATTTCTTCCCATTTGTGGAGATTTTAACAGCACAGGGCTTCAAAAGACTGCCCTCTTTTCTGAACCTTTTTAACATGTAATATCTTTTCAAAGCCTCTCAGCACTTTGAGGCCTGAGTGCAGTGGGGCCACTCTATTTAATACACAAATATGTTCTTGTTTGTTGTTGAATTATGTAATGACATTAAGGAGAGTATGTGATTTCTCCACAAATGGAGTATGTTTGCTTTTGGCTAGAAAAACAGTGCTATCTCAGCAGGATCAGTGCAAGAGGATTGGGGCAGTTCCAAACCAGATGAAGGAAGTAGGCTGCTTTACACTGGTGGGATGCAGGTAAAAGAACTCCTAGCATTGCCTCAGAAATCTTATTTTATTTCATGTCTCCATTTTGTTTTATAGCTGAACAAGCTGCAGTCACCCAGCTGCAAAAAAGTCACATTTGGCTTGAATAAAAACATGACTGCTGGTGAGTCTGATACATCTGTGTGTGTCCACAGTCTCTCTTGTGGCTGAGGGAGGGGGAAGCTTCATGCACTCACACACACCTAGAGAACACCTCTAGAACAGGATGATTCTGGTCCCTTTTTTGTTACAATAATTGTATATAGTTTACAAACCCTCCTCAAGTTCCTTTTCAGAGGAGATGGGAAAGTTTAGGACATTCAGCCCAACAGCTAGACTTGAACAATTCCAGGGTGCTGCATTACTGACCTGCAGAAGGAGCCTCATAGAAGGAAAACTGCAGCAGAGTGATGGAGTCGCCTTCCTGAGCTGCCTGTTTGCAGGGCACCTCTGAGGGAAACACGTGGGTTTCACAGCTTTCATTGCTCACTTGTTTCCCAGGACAAAGAGTGCTGATATGCTGATAAGATCAGACTTTAACATGGCAAAGTTTCCTTTTTATCTTGGCTGCCTGTGGTTTATTGATGGTCACGAGTAGATAAATGTCACTTCCCTTCTGTAAGCAGTGTTTTCCCTGTTTAATAAATGTCTTGCTCCATAGCAAAGAATTGTATTTCATGTATTCATTTAGCTAATTTTTAACTCACTGAGGTGTGCAGTAAATCAAGTTTAAATTGAGAACAGTATATTTAAGTATATGTCTTTATGTTAATACAACACAGCTGCACAAAATGAAAGATAAGTGCCTCTCTGCTGGCAGAAGGGATGACCTTGAGACACTAGAGCAGTGCTGTTCAGCAGTCAGAGCACAGACATTGCTTAGCCATCATAAACTCAGGAGTAGTGTTCTTCAGGATAGCTGGAACGCTTGTGTCTCAGGAGTAGGCCCAGGGTCTCTGGTGGTCTGTGGAACCATGGGAATGGTTCACAGCCTCTCAGTGGATTGCAGCAGACCCTGTTCTCCAAGGGACTCTGCTAAGAGATGCACTTCACCACCATCTCTTTGTTTCCTCTGCAGCCTTAGGCTTCTGATCCTTAGTGGAATTAAGGCTCTAGGGCAGACTTGCAGGGCTGGGCAATTCCACAGTTGTTTGACGGGTCCAGTTGTTCCAGCAGCTGCATTTCTTCTAACTTGTTGGCTTGTTTTTCAACAGAATTTAAAAAGACTGACAAAAGTATATTAGTGAGCCCAGAAGGACCCTCCCGTGTGGCTTTCAATCCTGAACAGAAACCTCGTCATGGGGTGCTGAAGTCACCCACAGTTACCCCAGCAAGAGAACCCCAGATGAAGAAACCATTTACTATGTCAGCTAAGAAGAGACCAACTGCTGTGGACTTCTTTTAAACCAACAGATGTGGCCTACTTTTGTACAGGACATTTTGCTAAGCTAGAATGTTCTCTGGAGGTATTTTGAACTTCTTTATTTTTTTAAGTTAAATACAAATTGTATATACAAAATTCTGATTGTGACCTGGGTCATTGCTATTTTGAAACCACTTCAGCTGTATCTTGAAATACTTGTTTTGTCTATTTGCAGAAAAGAAACAAAATCCAGTCTCTGCTCAGGTTTGGTCTACAAAAAGTATGGTCTCTGCCCATGTCATTCCCAAGAGACTTGTCCATTTAATTAAGGAATGTTCAGGGTTTGATTGTTCCAGTGATTTTTTATTTTTTTGAGCCAGTGTAAGACAACTTGCACTTCATGCTGTTAAACTGTCTTTCATTGGATAGGGCTTAAAAAGGAAAAAGGCAATGTAGATTTTAAGCCTATGTGTGTTCATTATTTTAAAATTTTACTCTGTCATTTTTCGTGTGTCACCCTTGGCATCCTGTTAATTCTTCTGGAAATAATGATTACCTCATGTCTCTGTTTCATAACAGCTGGACTTGAGTAGCTTTACAGGTAGCAAGCAAGCTTTCCCTGGGATAAGAAATGCCTCGCTGCTCAAGTGGTCACTGCTGCAAGTAAACCTTCACAGCTGGTTGCCTGCTGAGTTGGGGACAGCCACCACATTATTTTCAGTAACACAAGTGCCAAAGCTGGCTTGTGCCTGCCACATTGTAAGCTGGCTTCTTCCCTCCACTGTAACTGAAATCGTGCTCTTGCGCGGGAGAAATCTTTGATATTTCCGGGTCTTTCCCCCCACCCCCGCTGTTGCCTTTCCCGAAGGTCTGACAGGACTCCTGTTTTTCTGCTTTAGCAGCTGTTGTGTCACCACATGGTGCCAGAACTCAGATCTCATTCAGTGAATGAGCCTCTGGTTGTACTGAAGCGAGCTAGATCCGTGCAGTGCATCTTTGGGTAGGACACACGTCTCTCTGAAATCTTTGGTGCTTCTCAGTACAGGTGAAACTTTAAAGCCCAGGCAGCTTAGTTTTGGTTTTGATGTAGAACCAGAAGAACTCTGTCTGCAGCGTTTCCTGGCGTTAAGTTTTTATTCGGGTATTTTATCACTACCCTGCATGTTTTGTTTTTTAATTTGCTTCTTTGGTAAAAAATGAGGTGCCTTTCCATGAGAGACCATTAATGTTCTCTTTGGGGGAACAGTGAGGAAAGGGAGAGCAAATGAAAATAAAAACTCTTTTGATATGATTGGAAGACTTGAAATTTTTTTTGGAAGTTTTGCTAATGCAAATGAGACAAAGGCTTTGCAGCAGATCTCTACATTAGAGCTCAGCTTGAAAGCACAACCTGGTGCCAGAGCAAAGATGTTCCTGAAGCTTCCCCCCAGTTCTGGAATTCTGTAAGAGAGAGGGTGGACCTGCTTCATTACCTTGTCGTATAGTAACTGGATTATCAGTTAAATAAACTGATAAATGTTTAGCTATTTCAGCCAGCAGAATTACATTTTGTGTCATATTTGCATACTTCAATACTGGTTTTTACCAGTTCTTGGTGTTGACTGTCCTCTGCCAGACAATTCCTCTTAAGCAAGTGGATTGAAACTGTTCTTTTGTAGCTTATCTAGAATTGCTTCAAAATACTGGTGTACTTGCAGATTGCTGGTTGGTCTCAGCTGCTCAATTCTTATCCATCCCAGTTCTTGCACTAAGTTTGCAACAGTCCATGGTTTGTGGTACTGCCAGAAAGTCACTTTGCTCTTGTCTTTTCTCATTTACAGCGAAGGACTGAATTTCATTTGGTTTTGGTTTTGTTTTAGGCTATATTTGTTTGACTGATCAATAAAGAACTCTGGAGAATACACTGATAAAATTAATGATACTTGTTTGAGCAAGTATTGCTCATTTATGTTTTAAAAAATTCTCATTGTATATTAGCATAATGGATTTGGTTTTTTTTTAACAAGGTGATGGTAAGTAGGGTGTGACAGCCTGTTCAATATGTTGTACTGTTATTTTGTACTGTGGGTGAAAAGTCTGTTGTGGAATATGCATAAAAGCATTTGTATGTGCATGGTTGTTAATGCCTTAGGTTGAAGATGCCACATTCCTCCAAGGATACAGATGCAAACAATCAGTCGGTGGGTCTGGTGTGCACAGAACAATCCAGGATCAGGACACGCTGGGGTTTGGTTTAGGTTTGTCTGGTTTTGGTTTGGTTTGGTTTTAATACATATAACTTATTATGGAAATGTATTTAAATGGTTGTCTGGATCCTTTTCTGTTGATCCATTGAACCTGTTGCTTGTACAAATATTTCGTTGCCCACGGTGTTAAATGGAGAGGCCAGAAATGGCAGTCAGATTTTGATCTATAATTTTAGTGATGTGATTGCTTGTTGGGATTCATCTTTAATCCATCTGTGCCATGAAACTGGTGGAATGTTTTGTAAATATTACATATATAGTGTGTATTGTCTTCAGTGGTGTCTGGAATTTCATTCAGTACAACTTTACCAACAAAACTCACTGTCAGTGCCGTTTGATTGGGTTAAATTGAATACAAATAACCCAAAATATTTGGATAGTGACAATTCCAATAAACACTGAAGACAAAAACAAATGTGAAAGAAATGTAACATCTGGGATATCCACTGCACAGACACAATGGTACTGTAAGGAGAGATGTATTGATGGGAAAAAAGAAAGGAAAAACTCATCCGATCTGTTTGATGTTGCTTCACAGAGTTTTTTTTCATAGTGTTATTCCATCTTTCCAGCTGCCAGCTATGCTCTGAGTCACAACTAATGTGACATAACTTTTAAAGGACAGTATTTTGTAATGATTGTCTCTGCATTTTGTTACGAATCTGATCAACTTTCTCAAACTCTTAATAGTTGATAATTCTTTATAGCTTCAAGAGAACTCAAAAGCACAAAATGAATTCAGCAAGGCAAAAAGTTGAAGTTGTATTTAAATGATTGGATAGGCAAGGTCTTTTATAGCCTATGAAAGCTATGAGACTTGGAAAGCATCAAACGCCTTTTGTCATTTATTACCTGTGCTTAGATTTAATTATAGGCAGAAAAATATCATTTTGTGTACCTCTGCAAGAGCATTGTTAATACAAATACAGTGTCTAAGCATTGACATCATTTAATCTAGACCAATAAACCATATTTTTTGTGGACATTGTATGTTGGCTAAATCTGTAAATTTGGGAAATGGGAGGATAGCATCTGGGGGGCCACTTGAAAGTACAAAAAAAGTTGTTCTTGCCAGTGTGCAACTGCTCCCTCTCTTTTTATTTTATTTTTATGGTGTAAAAAGCCAAAACTGATGAAGACTCAGACACATTAGGAGTAGGTTTGCAGTAGGATATACCTGTTCATACACCTTGAACTGCTCCCCATAGAGAGCAGCACCTAAAAGATTGCTCAGGAGAAGCAAGTAGATCACACACTGTCATTGCTTGACGATAAAAATTGGTGATTGGAGTGATAACATGGCAAGATGTGTACTGCAGAGGGCCAAAGCAGGTAAGAGATGGACACTCTGAAAGCTGTTGGCCTGTTTGTTACCATCAGCATGCCCCATGGAGTTATGTATAGAGAGGAATCCCACAGAGAGCTGCATCCCCACCTCAGGTGCTGACAGGTCCTGCACCTGCTCAGGATCAATTACAAAAATTAATCAGGTTCTCCTGACAGGCACAGAATTTTCAGAAATGCAGAAATAATTATTCAGACAAAGAAAACTGATCTATCCACACCGGTGGCAGTAGTGAAGTTAAAACTTAAACCCCCAGATAAAATGGGAACAGATTTCCTTCAGAACTCAGTCCTGTAAAAGAGGCTGGCCCGGAGCCTGTGCAGCGTCCTGAGGGAGCAACAGGGTGTGGCTTCATCCATGGACATGTTAATAAAAGATGCTGATTTTCTAATCATGGTCATCTCTGCCTGATCCATTTTGGAAGGAAGGCACCAGAAATTTGAAACCCAATGGCTGCACAGTCGCTGTGGCCAAGTCTGTGCTACTGGTAAAGACATTCCAGAGCCCTGGTCCCAAGGCCGAGCCCTGAGGGACACCCCTCATCCACGGCCTCCCCCTGGACAAGGAGCCACTGGCCACAACTCTCTGGCTGCATCCCTGCATCCAATTGCTCATCCCCCGAGTAGCCCACCCTCCAAACCCACGGCTCTCCAGTGTGGAGATCAGGATGTCGTGTGGGACCGTGTCAAAAGCCTCCCAGGGGTCTGGGCACACCAGGGCCTGCAGGTCTGGGGGCTGGTCTGGAGGACCATGGGCAGTCTCTGGAAGAGGAGCATCATGCACCTCTCACTCCCAAGGCACAGGAGTCAGCACGGGCAGCAGCTTCTCCTACCTTGTGGGAGCGGGTGAAGGCAGCAGGGGCAGAGCCCCGGGCCCTGCCCCACACAGCCCCTGCTGCCCCCTCAACCCATGGCCTTGACACCTGGAAGCCCTCAGGGCTCAGTGGGAGGGAGCAGTGGTGGAGGGCAGTGCTGCCAGTGCCAGAGACTTAGGAGGAGCCTTGGTCTAGGACAAGGAAGACGTGTGGAAATGCTACATGGACCAAGAGCTTTCCCAGTGGGAAGATGAGAGATTGGGGCTAGCATGCTGGTGAATGTAATACTCAGCAAAAAATATGCATGTGGGGTCAGAAAGATAAAGAATTAAACTGAACTGATGAAAAGAGTTCAAGATCTTCTTAATGACAAAAAGCCAGACTTCTCTAAATCCAATAATATTTCTTAGAATTTCCTTCTGCTGTTGAATGCTTAAGTTCAATGAAGGCTTGATCAGGCTCCAGCCTGGACCCTTCCCTGTGATCTTGCTTAAATACTAAATTAGCTCTCTGTGAGGAAATGTTGCTCTTTACTAAGTAATGGGGATGTGGAGAGAATCCCTGATTAAATCCTACCTTGTTGAGACAGATCTGTGAAAAAACCTGGGCGTGCCAACAGTTAGGCTCTTCAGGGAGGTGAATTCCAGTCTCAGTTTAGGGAGCAGATCTTATTCCAGTCTTGACCCATCTTTTCACAGGCTTTGCCACTGTGGTAAGCATCTTGGAGACATCTGCTATAAAATGAAGGCTGAAACTGTAAACACTTGTATAATCCAATAATGTGTACTTGCCTCTGCAGAATATTGTCATGGGATAATTTTATTTCTGAAAAGAAAGTGCTCAAGCCTTTCCCTTTGAAAGAAAAGACAGGAATCATTCAAGATGTCTGCACTGCCTTCCAATAGCCTGTCAGAGAGCAGAGAGTGCCCACTGTTTCTTCCTTAGAAATCCACTCAGGAGCCCTTTATGGCAAGAGAGGAAGAAATTGCTCTTTGTTGTTCACAAGCTGCAAAACTGGCCACTGAGGGCCTGAGCTCCACGGAGTTGCTTGCCAAGAGTAGAAAACATTGTGTTGCACTGTAAAGCCAGACACAGGAATTTGCAGTTGGCCACTGGCATGTTCAGGGCTTGCACATGATACAGAAATTTTTGCTGATTATTTCTAACCAGCTGCGGACAATGATGTCAACTGCCCAAGGAACTTACAACTGCTGCTGATAGTATTGCACAGCTCAAGTATCTGCCAGGACCAGATGGCTACTTTTTAATTTTTGCCCATTTATCTCACGCAATCTTCACATCTTTTTTATCAGTTTCCTTCATTTAATTATAGAGATTGTTAGTTATCCTGGAGAAAAATCTTGTTCCTAAAGAAGAATCTCTAGTGTTTTTCACTATGTTGAGCCAGTAATTTTTCTGTAAAAAGTTCTTTCTTCTTCAATCCCAGAATACCAAATTTACAAAGATGAAAAGTCCTCATAAGAAATAATCTTGTATGAAGCATCTTGCATTAATTTAGGTGGGGGATTGAGTCCAAAAAAATGTTCTGGTTTCTGGCCCTCCCTTTCCAGAAGTGTAAATTCAGATTCTATTTCACGCACGCAACTGTTTTGCTCACGTTATGGTAATGGTCTGTAGTTGGGTTCTCATTTTATCCCTCTTGCTTTTCCTAGAGTTTTGGGGGACTTCCTTTGGATTCCTGCTGTTTGCTGAGAGGATCTTAACCTGGGTTCCAGAAAGGAACTGATCATTACTCACATTCCAAGAATGGAACCTCATGATTGGTGTTCATCCAAATTTTTGCAACTTTGGCTATTTGTGTGAATTGCAGTTCTCTGTATGTGTGTGTGTGTGTGTCTGTCTGTGTGTGTGTGCGCTTTTAGGCTTCTCTTCTCTTTTCTCTATTTTTTTTTAGAGACCTTTTGGGTGCTAAACCAATGCTGTACCAGTAAATGGTAAATCTAGCAAACTCAGGATCACTT